ATAATATAATTTCATTTCCAGCATAATAGTATTCCTAAGTACCTCATTAACATGTACAACAATTCTAAAGAAGCGTATTCTCTGGTATTCATTAAATATATGGTTAAGCTTATTAGTTACAGAACTATTTATTAGCCTAATCCTTTCCTGAGGCTGCGTCACCTTGGTTTCCTAAAAATGTTTATAAGAATGAGCCTTTATTCTCATTACCAAGCTTACATACACAAACAATTCAACCATACAAACAAGACAAATACCACAAAATATCATGTCACAAGATCATACTCATACAAAAGTAATACTTATTAGTTATTCAACTTATTACATTCTCTCTTTATTAGCACTTAGGGCTCTCATTTCGTACTTTCACTTTCCCTAAGATCCCTTTTAGCAAAAGTATGATGAAGAGTTTAAGTCAAGAAACTAGTGTGAGGCCTGTGGAGCTCTTACTCTCTTTTGTTATGTGCAATTCAAGAAGAGCATCCATTACCCTCATTTACCCAAGATTTCGTAATTGCCTCCATCTTTCACACAATTAGTGTACTTCTGAACTATTTATACTTATCCATATCATTTTTCCTTTCTCATTCTATTTCTCTTTCCATATTTCCCATTATGGACTTTACTATTCTCATTAGTCATTATGGCCTAAACTCATTAATTGCTATAACCTGAGCTTATTATTTATATTCTATCATATTATTCATCCCTTCCATTTCTCTATTTTATTCAAGTTTATTACTACATCATATATTAATCAATCATTACCAGGAGTTGGTTACCCTTGGACTTAGTCTATCACATACATGCATATACACTCAAAACAAGGATCATACACAACATCCAAAACCACAAAACATACTTCAAACATAACAAGCATACCACTTTCTTAGTAACAAGATAGATCTCTCTTTACCTTGAAATGGAAGTTTAGTGAATGGTTTTTGAGATATCTTGCTCAAAAGATTAGGTTCTTCCTAAATATCATAAGAGCTCCTATTTAAAAGAGAAAAACAAGAAAATAACCAAAAGAATGGAGGACCAAGCTTTAAAAACTTACCAAGGAGCAAAGAAAATAAACTCCCAAGCTTTATCGGAGAAAAGTTAAGATTTTTCAAGGATTATAATCCAAGTTTTTCAACTTGAAAACCTTTAAATACCCCTCAACTTGCGACATTCTCGCTACAGCGAGACCTTCTCTTGCTGCAATAAAAAAATCAGACAAAATTGCACTTTGCTATCTGTCATTCTAACTATAGCGAGAGCTTCTTGCTACAGCGAGAGAGCATCAGAGAGCTTGATTATTGATGCTCATTTCTCGCTACAGCGACATACATCTCGTTACAGTAAGAAATCCTACAACTCAAACACCTAAAACTCCCTTAATTTCAAGTAACAAGAATTAACAATTCACACAAAATATAAATTTTATGAATAACAAAAATATGTTGTTTCATTGCCAAACAAAAAAATTTACCTTTCCCTAAAGGTGAACACACTTGTTTTGAAATTTTTTATGTTATACATAATGATATTTGGAGGCCTTTATCTGTTACATCTATTTTTTGTCATAAATATTTTTCAAGCATTGTTGAAAGTGCTATTAGATATACATGGCTCTATCTCATGAAACAAAAGAGTGAAGTTGCATCTCATATATAATCTTTTGTAACACAAGTGGAAACACAATTTAACAAAAAATTCAAAATCATAAAATAGATAATGATAAAAGAGTTTAATATGCATGAATGGTACTTAACTAAATGAATAATACATCAGACATCCTGAGTGGAAACTCCACAATAGAGTGGCATAGTTAAAAGACAACATCAATATATATTAGATGTTGCTAGAGCACTTATGTTTCAATATGAGATTGCTAAATTCTTCTGGAATCATGTTGTGTTATGTGGTTCACTTAATTAATCGCATGCCTACCATATTTTTAAGCAATAAATCTCCATATCAAGTTTTACACAATAATAGTTTGCCAAACATATCAAATTTGAAATTTTTGGATATTTAGGATTTGCATCTACTTTAACATTGCATAGAACTAAACTTGATCCAAGGGCTACAAGATGTATATTTTTAGGATTTAAAACTAGAACAAAGGGTTTTGTTGTTTATGATCTAAAGAATAGAGAAAATTTTATTTCTAGGAATGTTGTGTTCTATGAACAAACATTTCCTATGAAAAATTCAAACAAACATAATGTTGATACTAAACATCAATCCAATCAAAATTTACATAATATTTTTATTTTATTTTATTTGTTATGAGAATATACATCCTACCCACATAGATACTACTTTACAAACTGGAAGTGAAATTAATAATGTTCTCAAGAAAATGATAATATTCAGTCAAGTATCCTATATATTCTTTCTTACAATTCATTGTCTTCCTCACTTAAAAATTATTCTCTAACTACTTCTTTAATTTCTTGGCCAAAATCTTATAAAGAGGTCATACAACATAATTTTTGGAAAAATTCCATCACTATTGAATTACTAGCTTCAAATGAGAATCAAACTTAGGTTATAACCTCTTCTCCTCTGGGAAAAAAGCTAATTAAGGGCAAGTAGATTGTGAAGACAAAATATCATCTAGATAGTATAATTAAGAGGCACAAGGCCATACTTATTGCCAAAGAATTCAACAGATCAAAGGGATTTATTTCATAGAGACTTTTAGTCTTGTGGTCAAAATGACTACTATTAAAATACTTCTTTCTCTTACAACTGCAAAAAATTGGCATTTGCATCAACTTGATGTAAATAGAACCTTTCTACATGGAAATCTTAATGAAGAGGTGTGTATGAAACCTCCTCCAGGGCTGAATTTGAAAGAAAAAATGTTGGTTTGCAAGCTCACTAAGTCTATTAATGGTTTGAGACAAACTAGCAAATAGTGGAACAATAGATTTATTGAAATTTATTATTTCTTCTAAGTATTCACAGTTTAAAGCAAATTATTATCTTTTTACAAAGAGAACACCTAAAGGATTTATAACTATCCTTATTTATGTTGATGATATAGTTCTGACTAGTGAGGATTTGAATGAGATCACAAGTATTAAATAGCTACTTCATAGAGAATTTGAAAATAAAGATCTTGGTCAATTTTTTTTTTTTTTTTTGTTGAATTGGAAGTTGCTAGATCCAATAAGGGAATTTGTCTTTACAAAGAAAGTATGTCTTAGATTTGCTTCAAGACACTGGCTTACTTGCTTCAAAGCCCTACACTACACTAATGAAAATACAACTATGCTTAATAAGCAAAATAGTTCTCCTATTTTTTATAGAACTAGTTATAGGTGTTAGTTGGTAGACTTATTTACTTAACCAACACAAGGCCTAATATATCCTTTGCAGTTAGTAAAGTAAGTAATTACTTGATTGCCATACTAATACACACTATCAAGCAGTTGTTCATGTGTTGAAATACATTAAAAAAAAAATGCTCTTGTTAGGTCTATTTTTCCTAGCAATTTCAGATCTCAAGCTCACTGGTTACTCAAATACAAATTGGGGAATATGTTCATACAATCGCAAATATGTTACATGCTTTTATTTTTTCTTAGGACAATCTTTAATTTCTTGGAAGAGAAAAATGCAATCAATGATTTCCCGATCTTCTTCGTAAGCATAATATTGTCACGACCCAAGCTACTTGTGAAGCATAATGGTTGGTTTATCTTTTTCCAAATTTTGGTCATATCGCTCTTATGTTATTTTGTGATAATAAATCAACTCTCCATATAGCAGCCAATCCTATGTTTCATGAGCGTATAAAACACATCAAAATAGATTGTCACACTTTTCACAAGAAAGTTCAATCTAGTCTCCTTCATCTCATGCCAATTTCAACCAAAGAACAAATCGCAGAGACACTAACTAAACGACTTGCTTATGTTCCTTTTCAACTTCTTTCATCCAAACTTGAAATGTTCGACATAAATTTCAGCTTGAGGGAGGATGTCACTGGACTAAAATAAATGAAATAGTTATTAGAAGTTAGTCTATTAAGAGCTTAGTTAGTTAGACTATTTTTGTTGAGTAATTAGGTTGATTACTTCTATTATAAATAGTTTTTTTTTCTTTGTATCATTTTAAGACTTTATGCTTTCATTCTTTCAGTAAGTGAGAAATGAGAAACTAAGTTCCAAATTTTTTTTCAAAATCCCTTTATTTTTTACCTTCTACATTAATATCATCAAATTTGACATAAACTATTCATGAAATTTTTTTCTGAAAATTACATAATCCTAATTTTCTTATTGTACCGAAGGAGGCATGAAATTGAGGATCAAAACTTATCAAATTCAATTATTTTAAATCTCGTTTCTCCTTCATTTTCTCTTCTTTTTAATAAATAAAATCAAATTTTAAAAATGAAATAAAACTTCAATTTTTGCATAATTTAAAATAACTATTTTTACAGATATTGGGTTGCTAATACATTCTCCTAATGTCATTAGACTTTCAAACTCAAATTTTATTAAGCAAAGTATTTTTCCTAAAGTTTTTAAAATTCTTTAAAATTCTAGTCACGACAGTATGATTCTTTATTTTTCTCTTTTCCACATCTGAACCGCCAATTTATTTTTTTTGGGCCCACTGAGGACCTTTTAGTTGCCACAATCATAATACTTCCTATACATTTTGGATGCCTATACCAATGTATATATATTTTGTATATATTTGTAAAATTTAAAGTACTTTGTATATGTATTCACGGGAGTTTCAGTAGCAAATAGATTATACAACTTCCTTAAGAATGTACTGGATATTATTTCATTCAATAGCATGTTAATAACATGTAAATATATATATATATATATATATATATATATATATAAAAGCTATCAAAAATGTTATTAACTTGCTCTTGTCTTGATTTTCAATGCATTCTCTATGTATTAAATAATAAAAAAATTATATATTTTTTATTTCTTAATCGGTGCTCTATCAAGACAAAAGGCGAAAAACGTTAACTGAAAAACTATGAACAGTAAATAATTAACATGGTTCGAAAGGGAGGAAGAAACAAACGTGCAGGACAAGGTCACTGAATGTTTTCTAATGTAAATTCAATGGAGCCAAATAAATATTATATCAAGCACTTTAACCAGAGGAAAGAGGAAAGAGGAAAGCAATATACATTCATAGAGTGAAAAGTGACTAAGAAAGTATTCAGAAAATTCCTTTGATTTCCATTTGTGCCCATGATTTTCATTTCCACTAACAGGTAAGGTGATGCTCCTTAACTAGTGTATTTCACAGGTAAAGATCACCCGGCTACCTCGACAAACCAGATTCTATCACATAATTGACTATACTGAGCTTTCAATCCTAAGTCATATTTGCACACGACACTTTCCCATCATTGATTCAGTGTGGAATGAGCTTAAGAGTAGAACTTGTAGGTCTTAGCTTCAAGAATGATAGTCCTCAATCCTCCAATTGGTGATAAAGTCATCAATAACAGGCCAAGCACGATGCAGATCTATAATCAATGGAACAAGATTAATCCTAGCTAAAATGAAACCAATAATTAAAGGAGAATAATTGAGACAAAAGCCAAAATATAACATACCCAGTTAGCCCACCATGACAAGCTGAATTTCCTTGGTTTGTAGATTGCAAGCCACATGATGCAGGGGAGCTGAAATTCAAGAAAATGAATTGTTAAAACGAAAAAAATAAAAAAGAAAATCCTAATTTTTCCTGAAATAAAATTCACTAATTTTGGCTTACAAAGTATGTTGTTGGAGCAAAAGCAAATCCTCCAAAGAATCCAAGGAGACCACCAAAGAATGGGAAGGTAATACCAACGAACATTGTGAATGCTGAAAACAAAGAGAATGATATGTCAATGCATAGAACAATAGACCAATGGAAACCCTTAGCAAGTGGATTTAATAGCTTGTAAAGAAACACATACTATTCCCATTAGGAGAAGTTTACTTACCCACATACACATTACGTACGATAAAACGAAGTATTCTGCTAGGCTTGAAATTCAACTTCTTCACCATCACAGTTTCAATCATGTCAAACACTGGCATTGCATAAATCTACATCAACAAAAAGTCAGTCAGTCATTGTGACTTCAATTATGAACCAAAAAGAAGGGTGATTTTAAAATAAAATGCTTATGCACAAGAATTAAGTTTCAGAGAACTGAATTTCACCTGGTAACTTCCGATAACATGGACCACAACAAACATGTTAGCCATTGCAATAAGCCATTTTGGTTTCTCTAAAGTGATGAGTATGTTATCTTTGACGTCATTGCCAAACATCCAGTAACCAATAAGAGCAACTGGGAAGTAGCACAAAGCCACAACTATGTAAGCAACAACCACTCCTCTCCACATAGGACCCTTGGATGGCTTCTCTGGGGTGGATGGGATTGTTGCTTGGATTTCCAACACCACATTGTGTCCAGCATAGGCAAAAGCCACATCCCCAAGGGCATTAAAGAAGCCAAATACTGTTCCTGCTGTAGTCTTAGCTTTATAACCATATTGTACATTTTCTTGAACACCCTTATGTACAGAAGCTGCCCAGGCAATTGTAGAGTAACTGTAGGACAATGTAAACATTAAAATCTACGTTAAAATGTTCAAGTCATGTTTCCATGTGTATTCTAATTCAATCAATAAACTCTAGTTGACAATAGACATTACAGAGATAATAAAGATGGATATAGATAATTAAAAGAAAATTGTTATCTAAAGGGTTAATTTTAAAGTAACTAGGAATAGTAAATTTTTATTAAAACATAAAGTATTTATTATATTTTTATATCTCTAAGGTGATCATTTTTATCAAATTTAACTATTAAGTCATGCAACCAATCATGATGGGTCCTTATATAATAAAAATTGTATCTATCTTTTTTCATTGTAACCATATCATGTTAGTAGTCCACATGAGAGGACCCAAATTATTTTATATGTTTGAAATTAGCCCTTATGTATGTTGTAAACAAAATAAAGAAAAGAATTATGATTTGTACCTCAAGGACATAACTGCTGCAGCCAAAGATACACCAGAAATGGAGTTGAAGTTGGGGAGGTGGGACAGCACAAAGTGAACAGAGGCAAAAATCATGATGAAAAAGGTTAACTTGATCTTTTTGCAGTCGGTACACACGGTGTCATGGAACTTCTGCAAGGATTTTCCCCCAGTGACCATATATACAATGTTCACCCCAACTTCAACCACAAGTTGTTGAGGCACCACAATATATAGACCCAGCTTTTCACCAAAGGCATATTGACCCAGTTCATGGTATCTGTCAAAACGTTTTCCCGGAACCATTTCATGCATCTCAACCATTTGCCATAGGGTGTATAGGGTGATGATCCATGACAGGACCAATACAGTTACACCAGGACCCCTGAAGACAACATTGCGATTCTCAATTTTAAGAAAAAACACATAGTAATACCAAAATGTTGTCTATCTATTTTTCTTCTTTGAGGTGATTACACGCAAAATAAACTCGAGGCATTGTTACTAAGAAATATTTTGTATCCAACTCATTAAATTTGAGCCTCCAAGATTATAAATGAAAATAATAATTTACTAAAAAATTAAAAAAAAAAAAAAAACAGAATATATGCAGTAAACGTTTTTCGTTTTACCTTTTTTTATACATGATTACGTGATCAAAACATGTTCAAAATGGGAGAATGTGAAAAAGCAAGTTGGGTTTGAAAGATATACCACCCAAGCTCAGACATGGCATAAGGAAGACTAAGCACACCAGCCCCAACCATGGCAGTGACATTGTGGAAGGCTGAGTACCACCATTTTCCATTCCTTGAAGAAGTAATTGGAAGCCAATCATTAATTGCCTTCTGCCTCTCTAAATGTTCATCAACCTGTTGAATCAACAACAACAAATACAATGAGCATGCCTAACAAAAAACAAAGGAGAATTTTTTTTTTACAAATAATCAAGTAAAAAAAAAGAGAGAGAGAAAATGACGACAAGGCTAAGGTTTGGAATTTTCGTATGCATGAGGGGTCTCTTTCGATTTGATGGGCCACCCAAAAGCAATGGTCTAAACTGAAGGGGCGTGAGGAGCTCTTCGGGTAAAAGGCGTGGCCTGTGACATGTGATCCAACTGTGGAACACGTTGTCCCAAACTTCTTGGAAAGTGCAGCATTAAAGGATATCAGTGTAACCCCCTCAAGTGCTTGTCCTTATCTTACCTGACTTTTGTACATCGTGTGACTTTGACTATTGGCATCATGATTTTCGAATATTAACTTGATATTAAAAATTTGGTTTAGCTGTTAAGACTTTTAACGCCTCGTTAGGTAGGGATGGATAGACAAGATTAGGAAATGCAGAGTATAATAAACTTCATCGTATTTAAATGATGTATAAACTTCATCTAAATATTTTAAAGACTAAAGTAACATTTTATTCTACAAAATTTACGAAAATTCCTTAGATACACATTAAAGACACAATTCTTAGTTATGATATTTAAAAAGGAAAGTGATTTAGGTGTATGATAACGTGTTGACAAGGAATGAGAAGTGAAAGATGGATAAATTATACAATATATATATATATATATATATATATATATATATATATATATGTATATGAACTGAAAGAAAGATAAAAGTATTATGTATGTGTATATAAGAAAATATAATTGAAATACGAGTTAACAATATTTTATAAAATATTATCAAAGTAGTAAGTATTTAGTAATATAAATGAAGAAAATTTTTATGCTAAAAATTATTTAAAAGTTTCCTGAAAACCAATATATAGCAGGGACCACATATCCATGTCGATAAGTGAGAACAACTGTGAATCCCTCATCTAATAGGTAAAGCGAAAGGAAAGTATTTGTAAGTATTTCTAGTTGTCGATAATTATAGAGGACCTATGAAAGTTGACTAAGAAACATCCAAAATATTCTCAAAATAAAAAAAAATGCGAATAGGATGACGCATTACGGTCACATGCACATTCTAGTTTAGATTCCTTATTATACGTAAAAAATGGTAAGAATATTATATATACATATATATATATATATATATATATAGTTAATTATTGGATAAATTTTATTGAATAGTTTGACTTCATTCTTTATTAAATAAAAATCACATGAAACTTAATGCATACAAAATTAAAAATAAATATATTATGAACATTTTTTAAAATATTAGCCCATTTTGTATAGATAGACATTTTCCTATTTTGGAAACTTAGGCTCTATTTGATACAACTAATCCAAACTTTAGAATTTGTAGTTGATAAGTTAGCTCAAAACTTATAAATTATAATTGAAACCTTATATTTAGTAGCCAATTGAATAGAGTTGTTTGATAAAAATAACTATACAACTAATTAAAATGTATTAAATGATTAAAAAATATATTTAATCTCATATATTAAAATTAAATGAGAAGAAAGTAGTTCCTATGTATTATTTATTTAAAAGTGTAAGGATAAATAAGAAATCAAATTATTGAAATTTATAAGCAAAGTTAAATGTTACTTGAAATTTAAAAAAAAGAGTTAACCATTAAAAGTTATAAATTCATTATATTTTGTAGTTATTAAATAATTTTAGTAGCTTATTAATAAGAAAATAGATGTTAAAATTTTTTAAATAAATTATAAACTTGTGTACTACTCACACTCCTAAAATTTTAAGATAATGAGTAGATAAAACTATTTCAATGGTTGTTTCTTGTATTTAAAAAACTCAAATCCCATTTACAAATAACGAGTTTCTGAAAGGCTGTTTCCGAATAGAATAAGTTAAAAAAGACAACTCAGCTACAATGACATTTTTGGTTGAGATTTGTGCATAGTCTATATTTTGGGTCAACTGTGCATCCTCAACACATAGAGTATATGTCTGTAATCTACCATTGCGTTTACTAAATGGATATTTATGTAGGAAACCATGTGGAACCATGACAACCAGTAGAATTAAATGCTGTGAATATTAGTATTTTTTTTTTTTAACTTGTTAGTGTAGTAATCCTATATGAATGTCATGGTCAAACATGACTAAGAGCCACATGCCATTAACCCCTATCACGCGACTCTTGAAGCTACTCTAACTTTGAGCTAACCAAAAAGAGCTCTCGGCTATTAATGAAATCTCTCATGAAATGCGCCATTTTCTCGGCCCCCAAAGTGGTAAGGGAACACAGCATAGAAGCCTCAAGAAAGTACAAGAGAGAGGGCAAGCAATACAATTCTACATATTCTTATCATAATTTATATCATAAATTTCCACAAAAAATTTATTAAAATAAAAAATTATTTATATTACGAAAATACAACATCTTTTGATTTTTATATATTTAAAGTAAAAAAAATTAAAAAATAAGTAACAGGTAAAAGTAATGGTATGCAATATTACATATGAAGTCGAATTTTAGTGATATTTCAAATAATTAAACTGAATAAAATAACAACGAATCCTATTTCATGAAAATTACAAAATATTTTTATAAATTTAAATAAACTTTTTCGAAAGCATGTCATAGGGTGTCTGGTTCAAACCTTGTGTTCTTTAAGATTGAAATAAGGTGTCTTCTGACGTTAAAAGAAACCTAAATAGAGTATGAAACTATGGGGCAGATAAACAAGGATAAAATTACAACACAAAAAGATCGAGACAACGAGACTTACAGAAGTTTTGGGATACGAGTCGAGTTCAGTTGGTGCTTGAGTCCCCATAATAAACTGGAAAAGCAGTGATTAGTGAAGAACGATTGCGTCACTGCTAGGTAGAGAGGATTGATATGAAAAGCTTTGTAAAACGCAGAATGTGTCTCTGTTTAGAGACTTTCAACTTTCTCGTATGATTGTCACCGGCACTTGCCAAGTCATGTGTCAGTGTATCACATGAAGAGTACGAGAGAGAGAGAGAGAGAGAGTTCTTGAAGAACTGAAGAAGATAAATTCTTATATAGAAATACAAGTCTACGTATGCATAGTTTGTTTTTTAATCGGAAGTTTCTCCGTGCCGGCGATACCTTTATTTTTAATCTCTTATTCCTTTAATTTGCCAATCGGTGATTAATATTTAATGCTACGTTTACATATCTACATGAAATATAAATAAAAGTTTATTTTATTCGAATGAAATCGAAGACTAAATATTAGATTTTTAGTCAACAACGGTTAAGTACAATAGAAATAGAACAAGGCGTGAGGGATATTTTACTTGAGACTATAATTCAATTTGCAATGTAAAATACAGGAACCTTGGACTATAGTTGGAAATCTAGGCATAAAATTTGAAAAGGTTGCCCTGAAAACAAGTTGTGTAACATGATGTGTGATGGTATTGACTTTGTAAGTATATGGAACAGCAAGTGGCAATGGGATTATTGACAAAATGGTATAATATAGTATTCGAAATTAAAGTACGTTGCAATATAAAAATGAATAAACGACTTTTCAAAATTTCAGCTTTGAACAGCCTATCATGAGATTGGGTTGCGTTCATCTGAGTGAGGTGAAGTCTTCAATTGCGGAAGGAAACATCGCTGGCGTATTCACATTTCACTCACATTTTAGCCGAATTTTTCTGTATTCACATTCCTTTCTTCTTTTTCTTTTTTTTTCCTTTTTTTGTTTAAACTTGTGTAAAGAGAGAACTTATGTTTAATAGGATTTGTTATCTCAATAACCTAAATAACTTTTGCGGACGGAAAAGAAAAATATTATTTACTATTACATACTTAAGATGATTAAATAAAAATATATTCGTCCTCTCTCTCTCTCTCTCTCTCTAACCAAGCACTTATGTAAATTAGATATAATTATTAATTCAACATACTTTGTTTAATTAGTAAAAATATGTGATAATAATTTGAGTTGAAATAATTTTAGGAAAATAATTAATATTGCACTTTAACTTTTTGAGTTATCAGAATAAGGATTTTATAAATATAAAATTAATTAAAATTTTAAAAAAATAAATAAATAATTTAATTAACATAATGCTTCTCAAAAAATAATATTAGGTAATTAAAAATATAATTAGGAGTTGTAAAAATTAAATTTTAATTGTAATATTAAATTTTAGTAAAAAGAAATTGGTTGTAATAAGTTTAGTTGATATGATTTGCATAAAAATAGGAATTAAATTTAAAATTATTTGATTTATTAAAATTAGGAATTATAAAAATAATATTAATAATTGTAAGATTCAGATTTTAATTTTAGTATTAATAGTTACTAAAGATAATTTGTAATATAATTTTTTTTATAAAATTTCCATATAAATTTAATGGAATTGAATTATAAAACTTAGAATTTTAGGAGACAAAATTAAGAATTGTAGGAATTTAATTTTAATTATTATATTAATTGTTTGTAAAACTAAGATTATAATAATTTTATTTGATTTAATATGCATAAATAATAAATTTGATTTATAATTGTTTGACTTATTAGAAATTGAAATTTTGGAAATTAGATTAGGAATTGTAAAACATTTTATGTATGTGCAGTATTAGTTGTTAGTAAAAACAAAATACTCTCTAAATTGAGTTGACATATGAAACAATTTATGTAATTTGATTTATAAATGTTTTGAGTTATTAAAATTAGCAATTGTAATTATATAATTTTGATTGTAGTATTCAATTTTAGTAAAAAAATTATTATAAAATATATAGTTGATATAATGTGCATAAAATTGTTATATTTATAATTATTTGATTTATTTAAATGAGGATTCTTTTAAAATACTCAATTAGGAATTGTAAGAATATTTTTTATTATAGCATTACTTGTTACCAAAAATAATTATCAATAAATTTTGTTTATTAAAATTCATAATTATTATAATTAGAATTTTAAAAAATTAAATTAGAAATTATATATATTTAATTTTAAACAAAATTAATGTTTTTTCCTCTAATTTGTGTGTAAGATTCATGTTCTAACTTTATTGTTATTCTTCAACTTTTAAAAAAGTTTAAATAAATTTTTTTCTACTAATAATGTTAACTCCATTAATATTTTACTTTTTGTCTTACGCGTGTACTATTTTCTACTATTATCAGGTCCTTATATTATTCATTGTTTCTTTTTTTTTTTTCTATTTTAGGTAGGTTAATTTATTTTTTTAATATTTTTAAAAAATAAATTCTTAAAATAATATTTTTTTTAAACATATCTTTATATGGGTCTTTTTTATCAAGTTGCCGTCTATTTCATATGCCCTATAGACAAAAATTATTCTTTTTTATATTTTTAATCAGGTTTCATCTTTAGTAGAGACAAAATTACACGATTATATCGTGTCATTATCTGATGAGTTCCGTTTGCTACATAAACGAAATTAACAAGATTGTGCTAGTGTCATGCCAATTTAACTTCTAAAACTTAATTTAGAGGAAATAAAATGAGTATATTGTAACATCCTTATTTTATTTAATATGATAAGAAAATAAGTTCGATGTTGAGGAGGAAAAATTTAATCAAATTCATTTGCAAGAGAGTACAACGTGTAGGAATATAAAATATTTCATTTACTTTACTCAAACTTACAAAAAAAAAATTTTAAATGACAAAGTAATGGAAATAAAACCAATTAATAGGAAACGTGAGATAGCATTAATATATATATATATATATATATATATATATATATATATTGTTTTAAAGAGTTTATAATGGGTTAACCTTAGCAAAATATACATCAAAATACATTATGACTCTTTTACAATATTTATAAAATACAAAATATAACAAGTCCTAATAAGCAACCTATCCACCAAAAGATTGAAAAAATACTAGTCATCCCATGCCATCCCTTTATCTCTACAATGTTGTCAGAATCGAGATCCTCATCCGATCCGAGATATTGATCACCCGAATAATCCACAATGGCCTGCTTACCAGAAATATGCTCAAAGGTCTATCGAGATGATCTTCTAAGGTGATCATGATCATGATATGTGATCAGGTAGGTTGCAGCTGCTGGAGTTCTAACTGTGCCATTATAAAGATACATACATAGGGTATGGTGGATTCTATTGTTTGCAGGAAAATCAAAAGATATACTATAAAATAGTTCAATTTCTAGCATAATAATGTTACGTTGTACATTATTAACATGTAAAGCCAACTTAAAATATAAAAAAAATCTATAATACTCATTAAATATATAATTTAACATACACTGTACAAAACTATCTATAAGTCTAACACTCTCTCTAGGAGTTGTCATCCTAGTCCCCTGAAAGGTTTATGTAAAGATGAGTCTCTATTCATATTACCAAGCATACATTCACAATTAGTCACACAATACAACAAAGGTAATACGACAATCAACCATGTCACAAAATCATGTTCATATACATGCAACAACCCTTAAATATTCAGCTTGTTACTCTTCATCTCTCTCTTAATACTCAGAGTCTTCATTATGCCCCTAGGATCCCTTAAGGTCTTCCTCAGCATAGATAGTTGTAGCTACACAGATACAACGTGCGTCGACCTGACCCTTTTTAGCAAAAGCATGGTTAGAAGTATAAGTCAAGAAATGAGTGTGAGGCCTATGGTGCTCTTACTCTCATTTGTTTTGCGCAATTCAAGAAGAGCATCCACTACCCTCATTTCTCCAAGATTTCTCAATCATCTCCATCTTCCACACCTTAGTGTACTTCTAAACTATCCATACTCGTCCTTATCATATTTCTTCCTCATTTCATTTCTTTTTTCATATTTCCCATCTCATCTCTGTATTTCTCATTATTTGTTTACTAACATATTATTCACGCTTTTATCTCTCTATTTTACTCTAGTTCATAATTACATTATATATTAATCAATCATTGCGAGAGTTAGTCTCCTTGGACTCTGGACTCAGTCTACTACATACATGCATATACACTCAAACCAAAGATCATACACATCATGAAACACCATAAAACATGCTTCAAACCTAACCAAAAACATGTTCTCATCCAACATATATTCAAAATCATGTATTTCATCACAGCATTTTCATAAACACAAACATACCACTTTCTTAGTAATAAGATAGAACTCTCCTTACCTTAAAATGGAAGTTTAGTGAAGGGTTTTTGAAGGATCTTGCCTAAAACGTCGAGTTCTTCCTAAACATCACAAGAGATCCTATTTAGAGGAGGAAAAACAAAAAATTAACTAAAGGAATGAAGAACTAAGCTCCAAGAACTTACCAAAAAGCAAGAGGAATGAACTCTCAAGTGTAGATCGAAGAAAGGTTAGAGCTTTTCAAGGTTTTTCTGAGAAAATGAGAAGAGAAGTCAAAGAGAATGTAGAAAGGTCGTAACTTGGATTATAATCTAAGTTTCTCAACTTGAAAACCCTTAAATATCCCTCAACCTACTACATTCTCGCTACAACGAGCCAATTCTCTCTACAGCAATTCTTGCTATAGCAAGATCTTCTCTCGCTGCAGCGAAAAGATTAGACAAATTTTCACTTTACTGTATTTCATTCTAGCTAGCTACAGCAAGAGCTCCTCGTTATAGCAAGAAACTTTCCTAATTTCAAGTAACATGTATTAATAACTCACACAAAATATAAAATTAAAAAATAATAAAATAGGAGTGTTACATACATCTGAAAAACTAATAATTAATTTCATATTTAATATTATCAAAGCAATTTATTTGTTCAAAAATAATTAATATTTGTTCAAAAATATTCAAAAAATAAGTCGGCCATTGTATGTGTTAAATGGACTGAATGCCTCAGCAGAGCAGCCATTAGGGGTTATGAAACCTTCTTGGTGAAGTAGAAAAGGTGAAGATGTTACAAGTAAAACATGTCAAAAATTTTCTTGAATGAAAAGGGCAGAGGAATGAAAAGGGAAATTTTGCATTTTCTGCACCGGTCTATTTCTGGGCATGTCTAGGAAAAGATGGCTAAAATACATATTGGAACATGATAGTGAAAGAGCAACAATTAATGGGGGAGACCATGCTAGAATAAAAGGTGATGGTGGTTGAGGTTGGAGAGAAGCTAGAAAAGATTGTGCTTGATCCATAGAATGCTACATTGAT